TGTCTCAAGGCCATTGACCGAGTAAGAGGGAAAAAAAAATTAAATGCAAAGCACAAATGACATTCCGAAAATAGGCAAAACAAGCCTAGTAACTAGATCTACTACAAGGATAAACTAATGCGATCAAGACAACATTTCAGTCTGTCCTTGTATAAGTCGTCCAATCTTCTACAGTGATGGTATCAGTTTGTCCGTCAAACGCCGGGTCCTTGTACTCTATATAACTTTCTATTACTTCATATTCGCGCAGCAGGAGACTTCGCAAATATTTGATGGCCGTGTCCACAAGCCCATCCATGAGTGTTTTGAGTGATGGTTGCTCCATGATCCTCCTTCGGAATTCTTGTCGTCGTCGTTCATCGATGTTGTCTGCATTGGAAACACTTGCACTTGCAGAATAGTCATTATAAATAAGAAAAGATACTTTGCACCGACCTCGAACAGTTGCCGCTGCACAAAACAATGTCATCGCGTTGAAATTGTTGTGGCAGAATTTGACTGCTGAATAATACAATTTCGAAAAGGGTGCGAGCACTTCTCGCGGGTATGTTCTCGTTCCACAGCACCTCCGACCACAAATATACAGTGACTCTCGAGGAGACTGTTCCCTGTCTTTCGGTGGGGCATCCACACCTCTAACACTGAGTACTGCACTGTCAAAGATCACTTCAGATGTGAAGAAAACTAGACCCATATCATGCCATATATTTCTTCCCCACACCACGTTACTTGGCGGCCATCCAGTTGTCACAAATGGTTGAACCATTCTACAACACATGAAAATACAGTTTAAATATATATAAATGAAAGCTCAATGACAATTAAATAACGTACTAATACGTGTAAAGAAATACGATTAGCTCTTCTTCAAAACCTATTGAAAACCTATTGATCTTCATTATCGGGAAGTGAAAGGCATACCAAGGTCTTCTCTCTGGCCGATTTTGGAATGTGCACTCCATTTTCTAAATGCAATGTCTTTGATGTCCAGCTCCACACAATACAGTCTATATGCTGCCACTGTTGTGATGTTGTGTTATCTTTCTTCCACGTCTTCTTCCATGCATTCGGATACTGCACAGAAAGACGTTTAGCAATAGGTTGTGGCACCCAATATTCAATAAGAATATGATTGAAAGTTGACGACTTCATATCGTTGTCTACATCGAAAATAACTTTACCCATCCATACAGGAACTCCCTCATCGATATCATCTTGGGAAGGACGCAAGAGAACGAATTGACCTTTTTCGACATCCACAACTGGGTTGAGCTCCGCCTTTGGACGCTCATTGGCCGGTCCAACGAACGACGACTCCTTATTCTCATTGCTCTTCAAGAGGAAGGCAATATCAATATCATATGGATCATCCTTCCTAATTTTGTCTTGTGAGGGCCAGAAACCAGCCTTGAGTGAAGTTTTCGCAAACCCAGACCCGTAATGCTCCTCGACTGTCTCGAGGAAATTTTTCCAGTGTGAAAGAGCACTCTCCTTTGAGAAGCTAACCTCATCTTTCATTCCCAACCACTCGTGCCTCTTGTTCTCCAACCACCCAACAAACGTCTTCACACCTTCAATTCCCGATTCGAAATCTGAATTCCTATCTTTAGTAGGCAGAGAAGCTGACGGCGGAACAGGCGATGGCACGAATGGCCATTCGGGTCCAGCATATGCTTTGTTTCCATCTCGTTTAAAGCAATCGACTTGAGCAGACCATTCAGGAGAAGTGCAATACTCTTTCCACTGGAACATAGGATTGTCATCCTGCATATAAAACCTAAATGCATGTGGACGAGTAGGACCGGTCAGTCTCTTGACCAGGAAGGGCTTAACAGCAGCTCGCCAATCAGCAATTTCATCCATGAATGTGCAGGATGGACGTTCGTTTTGAGAACTGGTAACGAACTTGAAGAGGTCGAGCATCGTATATGCATCGTGCATTTTCATTTTGCGAGAGAAATGACTGAAAGTGGCATCAACGTCCATATGTGTGTGTCCCACTAACATAAAACCGAATTCGACTTCTTTGAAGAAGTCAAATTTCACCAAAGCTGCAGCGAGTGCCAAAACGTATCTGTTTTTGTTTTCTCTCCAACAGTTATCAGCTTGTATCCTCAGTTTAGGAGGCAAGTCACTCGTCGCCTGGATGTCGTGGAAAACTTTCATAATGGATGACACTACAACATTAAAATCATGTGGATAGCAAGGGTACCATGTGTGAACATGGACCGATGGTGAGCGGCCCTGTGCAATAATAGCTGTTAGATTCGTTTTCAACATCGAAATATTTGCGAATGCCTTCGCTTTGTTCTCTCCGCCAAAGTGTGGAATGCTGGTCTTGCTTTGGTCCATGCCGTCAATGATGATGCACAAACTGTTGGAACCCGGTCTCTTCGACTCATCCTTTCACACCTCATACGCAGTACGATGTTGGAGCTGCAAGTCCAAGTGTTTCTCGCGTAACGAAACAAAGTACTCACGCACACGTACAAACTTTGCAGAATTGATAGATTTTTTGTATTCAACACATTTCTCGCATTTCGCAAAGTTTTGATCAATGTCATGGAATTTGACATGCCAGAACTGCGTTCTCCACATGTTGTCGAATTGCGACTTTAACAACTTATAAATATTAACCTTGTTATAGCAAGCAGACTATCTCAACACCAGTCTTGATTCCCCCTCTTTGATCTTCATGTCATTGGGCATGGAATCTTCGTTGTCTCGCACGAAGGAGCTTAGTTTCCCGTACATCGTCGCATATGTTGATGATGTGCGTCTGAGTCCAGTACTGCCATGCTCCAGCATATTGTAGCCTTTTGACAAAGTCATCCTTTTTTTGAGAAATGTATTCCTACATACACCCAGTGTGAAACACCAAGCACTAATGCACACCTTTCGTCTCCCCACAATAGGTTGAACAATCTCATTTTCATCTATGAAGGTGAACCTCTTCAACGTTTCAACCCACCACGCATCCCTGCTTTGCTGGTTCTTAGAGTAGTACGCGCTCCGGAAAGCTTTGATGTCGTCCAGGGTCATTTGAGCACAACACTCTCGCTTACAGCAAACCTGCCCACGCACACTCGCCAGTGTTTTTTTGGTGAGTTTTCTATGAACTGATAGCAGAATCTTCTTTGACCGCGGCATTCTGAGACGAAAAGTATAAGGACGCTTCTCTGAGAACAGACGTTTTGGAAAAATTTCATCGAAATCAGAGATCACGTCACAATTTTCATCGTCATTTCGACAACAGTGGTCACTGTTTCGGTCAGCGTACGTTTGCGGAAGATCGGTTTTATCTGGATAACTATCAGCACTAGACGACACCGAAGCACTTGAATCTGAACCACCTTCATCACTCTCACCAAACAGAAGACCTGTGTACTCGAAATCTCGAAGTGAACTCCTCGGCACCCATACAACACAATCTACATCGGATGCGTCGTTGTCAGTAGAGGAGGCCTTACCCTCCTGACCTTCAACACTCTCTGCATCACAGGTTCGAACCGGGCATCGAAGGACGGGATACGCACTTTCACATGTAGTGTCTGCACACGCAATATTTCGTGACCTCTTACGAGCAGGAGATTATGGAGCATTATCGACATGTTCGTGACCACTTCAAACATCTTGTGAACATATTGGCAGGGGCGGTGGAGGAAAATCCTCATTGAGCATTGTATTAGACGCCACACAGTCCATGCTTTCCAAGGTTGTGCTGCAAGCCTGCCGTGGCATAGAATGCACACCACAAGCCATGCACGAGACGTGTATGCGACAACAAAACAACGGACCACTGTCAAATGAAATGGAGCAGACAACCATCCGTACACAACAGCGAGAAACACAGCCCYATAAATGACCCTGAGAAACACAGCCCTACACTGGACGGAGGGGAACAGGAAACATCCGAGAGAGGATAACACACGACCGTGGAATCTGGGCAGCAATCCAGTCCTCAGGCCCAATCCGTGCCAAAGGCGCAATACACGCGAAAGAGTCTGTCCAAGTCAGAGATCGAACGACAGTGGGAAGCGTAGCACATGTCGAGTCGGGGCACCAGCAACCGGAAACACAGCGTGCAACAACATTGAAAAGGGGGAGATCTTGACGCGCAACAGGAAACGCAGCACATGTCACGTCGGGCACCAGCTTCAGAAAGGCAGAGACCACGGCGTGCAAAACCCAGCGGGCACCAACAGCGGAACGGCGAAGACTCTGGCGCGCAGCACACAGCTTGGCACGAGGGCATTGATAGGAAAGATTCTATATTACTCCAGGAACTACAGCGAATGGACACGCGTGGTAATCACCACCCACGCAGAGCGGGCAGGAAAACTGCCACGAGTGAGCAGGAATACCATCGTGGCAACGCGACCGTACCATCGTGGCAAAGTGACCGCCTCGCCCAACACGGAAGGGTCCCCCATCTTGATTCCCGGCACGCGTGGTACTCACCACCCACGAAGAGCGGGCAGGAAAACTGTCACGAGTGAGCAGGAAAACCATCGTGGCAACGCGACCGCCTCGCCTAACACGGAAGGGTCCCCCGTCTTGATTCCCGGGTACCAGACTCCGAGGATTCGAAGCAAAATTCGCGCAGAGTTCATTCCACGGCGCACGACGGGTTTCCAGATAGCCAGGATGAGAAGGCAAATGACTGAGGCAACGCCAATGTCGCGCCCAACACGACAGGAGCTCCATTGTATATTACAAGGTGGGGGTCGTGGCGCAATCTCGCAACAAGCAGTCAGTGCTACAAGAGACAAAAGACAGTCACCCGGGCACTATGTTCTGCTGGCGCAACTCGCACTAAACTCTGTGCAAGTCGAAACGTAGGTGGGGGTCGTGGCGAAAAAGAGCAGGGTGTTCGACACGACCGTGATGGCGTTCGACACGACCAAGACCGCGTTTGACCGTGGCGGACACGACGACCACCGTGCTTGGCACGACGGCCACCGTGTCCGACCCGACGACCATCGTGCCGGACACGACGACCATTGTCGACGATCGTGTCGGACACGAAGACGGTCGTGCTCGATACGATGGTGGTCGTGTTCGACCATACGACGGCCATGTTCGACACGACGTCGGTCACGACGACGGCCGTGCACGACAACGAGCCGGACACGACAACGAGCGTGTTCGACACGATGGAGATCGTGTTCGACACGACAACCAGCGTGTTCGACACGACAAGGATCATGTTCGACACGACGACCATCATGTTCGACACGACGATGACCGTGTCGGACACGACGACCATCGTGTTTGACACGACGACCAGCGTGTCCGACACGACAACGATCGTGTTCAACACGACGACCATCGTGTTTGACACGACGACC